TGAAGGAACCAGGGAGCCGATAGCGACAAGACGGATTTTTTTTTACTTTTTATTTCTTATTTTCCCACCACCCCCTCTTTTTGATTCCCACCTCGCGGCGGGGCCTTGTGGCTGGCGGAGCCCAGGGTCTGCCACTTGGTATGCGATAGTATTTCCAATCCTAACAAGGTGCACCGTGTCGCGAAAGTGGCTATCGGAATATATTTACTTGGAGCAAACATCGAGGGAGTGGCGAACCCACTGCCTCTCCACCACCCCCCTTTTCTCTTCTTGTTTGATTTCTTTTGATGATTTCAGGATCCGGCCAGCAGCCCAGGCGAATATTTTTTTTTTTCATCGGGTTGGGTTTGTTTGTTGTGGGCGCTGACTGTGTGTGTGTGTGTGCTGGTGCCCCTGCGGCGTGGCGTGGCTGCTCCGTCGCGTCTCGGTCCCACTCCCCCGCTGTCTGTCTGTCTCTGTTCTTTTGTGTGTATGCTGTGCACCTGCCCGTGTCTCTCCTTCCCATGCTGCGTGCTCTCGTTGTGCCCGCCCGGTGCCGGCCCGACAGGAGAGTTTACACCGCGAGCAACAAGCGAAGTCCACAAAGGCCCAAGTGACAATGATGCTGCGCCGCGTCCTCTGCGTGCTTTTGTTTGCCCTCTGCTGTGCGTGCGTGTGCGCCACGGCCCAGGAGGAGGGGCAGTACGATGCTGCTGTTTTTAAGGCTGCTGGGGGCGACCCGAAGAAGAATACGACTAACACTACAACTACTACGACTACTACTACCTCCAAGGCGCCCAAGAACACGACCACAACTACTACTACGACTACTACTTCCCCCTGGCTCAGCCGGCCACCTCAACGTGGTGCCAGGGTCTAGTACTCTTTGCTAGAGAGGAAGCTAAGCGCCTGCTGTTCATGCTTCAAACCCGATGAGTAGTTGTTACTTAGTTTTACGGGCCGGAAGGGCAGATGTTGGAGCCATTCTATAATGGCTGCCCGCGGAGTAAGGTTATCCTTGCTACTGAATTCCTTCGTACGCTTACCAGAGCTGCACAATTGAGGTGTAGTTACTACGACTGGTAAGAGAAGAAAAAAAAAAAAAAAAAAAAAAAAAACTACTACTTCCTCCAAGGCGCCCAAGAACACGACCACAACTACCTCCAAGGCACCGACTCCTGAAGACGCGCGCAGCCCTGGCGGCCCTGTGTGGGTGCAGGTGTCGCTGCTGCTGCTGGTCAGTGCCGCTGTGGCGACCGCCGGTGCTGCGTGCTGAGGACGGGGCGGGGCGCGTGCGCCGTCGGTGTGGAGTCCCGTTGTGTGCGGCCACTGCCCACACGCGCGGGAGCACCGACTGGCGCCTGCGCCGCGTATATTTGAGCACCCTGCAGCGGTGTGGATGTATATATTCCAGTGTCTTTGGTTGTGCGTTCTGGCCCCGTGCCGCCTGCCCGTGCATTCTCTGCGACGGCCGCGCGCTGATGTACATCTCCTACCGCCGCCCCGCCACTTGTGGGGGGAAGCGTCGGTGCACTTAATTTTAAATTTTATTTAATGTTGTTTTGGTTTGTTTTTTTTAGCTTGTGAAAAGGATGTTCGCGGGGGAAGCTGGTCACCTAAATGAATATGTCCTGATAAAGTGGAGATGTTTCTGCACGATTCTTTTCCATCTTATGAATTTTTGGAAGACGGTGATTGAAGGAACCAGGGAGCCGATAGCGACAAGACGGATTTTTCTTTACTTTTTATTTCTTATTTTCCCACCACCCCCTCTTTTTGATTCCCACCTCGCGGCGGGGCCTTGTGGCTGGCGGAGCCCAGGGTCTGCCACTTGGTATGCGATAGTATTTCCAATCCTAACAAGGTGCACCGTGTCGCGAGAGTGGCTATCGGAATATATTTACTTGGAGCAAACATCGAGGGAGTGGCGAACCCACTGCCTCTCCACTACCCCCCTTTTCTCTTCTTGTTTGATTTCTTTTGATGATTTCAGGATCCGGCCAGCAGCCCAGGCGAATATTTTTTTTTTCATCGGGTTGGGTTTGTTTGTTGTGGGCGCTGACTGTGTGTGTGTGTGTGCTGGTGCCCCTGCGGCGTGGCGTGGCTGCTCCGTCGCGTCTCGGTCCCACTCCCCCGCTGTCTGTCTGTCTCTGTTCTTTTGTGTGTATGCTGTGCACCTGCCCGTGTCTCTCCTTCCCATGCTGCGTGCTCTCGTTGTGCCTGCCCGGTGCCGGCCCGACAGGAGAGTTTACACCGCGAGCAACAAGCGAAGTCCACAAAGGCCCAAGTGACAATGATGCTGCGCCGCGTCCTCTGCGTGCTTTTGTTTGCCCTCTGCTGTGCGTGCGTGTGCGCCACGGCCCAGGAGGAGGGGCAGTATGATGCTGCTGTTTTTAAGGCTGCTGGGGGCGACCCGAAGAAGAATACGACTAACACTACAACTACTACGACTACTACTACCTCCAAGGCGCCCAAGAACACGACCACAACTACCTCCAAGGCACCGACTCCTGAAGACGCGCGCAGCCCTGGCGGCCCTGTGTGGGTGCAGGTGTCGCTGCTGCTGCTGCTCAGTGCCGCTGTGGCGACCGCCGGTGCTGCGTGCTAAGTGCGGGGCGGGGCGCGTGCGCCGTCGGTGTGGAGTCCCGTTGTGTGCGGCCACTGCCCACACGCGCGGGAGCACCGACTGGCGCCTGCGCCGCGTATATTTGAGCACCCTGCAGCGGTGTGGATGTATATATTCCAGTGTCTTTGGTTGTGGGTTCTGGCCCCGTGCCGCCTGCCCGTGCATTCTCTGCGACGGCCGCGCGCTGATGTACATCTCCTACCGCCGCCCCGCCACTTGTGGGGGGAAGCGTCGGTGCGCTTAATTTTAAATTTTATTTAATGTTGTTTTGGTTTGTTTTTTTTAGCTTGTGAAAAGGATGTTCGCGGGGGAAGCTGGTCACCTAAATGAATATGTCCTGATAAAGTGGAGATGTTTCTGCACGATTCTTTTCCATCTTATGAATTTTTGGAAGACGGTGATTGAAGGAACCAGGGAGCCGATAGCGACAAGACGGATTTTTCTTTACTTTTTATTTCTTATTTTCCCACCACCCCCTCTTTTTGATTCCCACCTCGCGGCGGGGCCTGTGGCTGGCGGAGC